AACTTGTGCTCATTAATTTGATCTTCAAATAAGATGGACTTGCAAAAGTTAGGATTTTTTTTTTCAGCTTCAGCTCTATTTCACAATATATAAAGAAAGGGTATAGAGAATTAAAAAAAAGTTTATCTTTTCATTCTCATAAAATATATTCTCAGACTGGACTTTTCAGTTATTTGGCAGGAAGATAATCATTTTCAATTATGAAAAAAAATTGTACAACAACAAAAAAGAGTTGTTGGCATTATTCTGATTTCATTAAATAAGAGAATTTGGCAGTCACCAATCAAATTACTAATTTCCCACAACATAATCACCACATATGAAGAAATTTCAAAAATCTGCAAAATATTTCACAAATGTTTTCTGTATTTATACTCTGAAAATGTCTTTTAAAATATATATTTATGTACCTTTACCTACTATGTACCTACAAAGATCTGCTGTCCTACTTGTTTTGAATTGTATTAGGTACTATCATAACTATAGGTTTTAGCAGCTCTGTTTATCACTGTAACCATATTATATTAAAAGCAGCTGAAAATTTCATAGATGTGCTTATCTTGTTGACCTTCACTGTATTAAGAGAAAGTGGGACAATTTCAACTTTATATGCAAGTGAAATTCACTCTAAAATTTTCATGGAGAAAAGATGAAATTAAAAAATACAAAATGCCAAATTATCAAAATGGAATGTAGTTTGCTTCATTCACATAAGTATTTCTTTTTGAGGGGAAAAAATAAAAGAAGGAAAAGACAAGGAAAAAGGAATGAGGAAGAAAGGAAAAAAGGAGTGAGGAGGAAGAGAAAGTAGAAGGAAACGGATAAAAAGAAAGAAGGACACCTTTTTTCATGCTGTTTTCAGACTCAGTCGCTTGGTTTGCTTCCAGCCAGAAAAGGACTCTATAGTCTTCTTTAAATATTTGAAGATCAAGAGTGCCTGGATGGCTCAGTCAGTTAAGTGGCTGACTCTTGAGTTCAGCTCAAGTCATGATTTCCCAGTCCTGGGACAGAGCCCTTTATCACACTCCCTGCTCAGCGGGAGTCTGCCTTTCCCTCTGCTCTGCCTCTCCCCACCCCACTCATGCTCCCTGCTCTCTTATCTCTCTGTCTCTCTGTCAAATAAATAAATAAAATCCTTAAAAAAAATCGAAGATTGAGGTGCCTGGGTGGCTTAGACAGTTAATCATCCAACTCTGACTTCTGCTCAGTCTTGATCTCAGGATCATGAAATGGAGCCCACATAGGGCTCAGCAGGGAGTCTGCTTGAGATTCTCTCCCTCTCTTTTTCCCTCACCTTCTGCCCCTGCCATCCACTCTCTCTCTCTCTCTTTCTCTCTCTCTAAAAATAAATAAATATATTTTTAAAAAATTTAAGATCAATTTTAATATCCAACATTTATCAAGATTGGGTTGTAGAACTCTAAAAATATGACAAAACCTGCAAAAAAAAGGATGGAAAGGAAAGGAAAGGAAAGGAAAGGAAAGGGAAGGGAAGGGAAGGGAAGGAATGGGAAGGAAAGGGAAGGGAAGAGACTAAGTTTCAATATTGTTTTGTTTTGTTTTGTTTTGTTTTTTATTAACATATAATGTATTATTTGCTTCAGGGGCACAGGTCTGTGAATCATCAGGCTTACACAGTTCACAGCACTCACCATAGAACATACCTTCCCCAGTGCCCATAACCCAGCGACCCTATCCCCCACCCCAGCAACCCTCAGCTACCTAAATGAGCAAAGACTAAAGTGCTACTCAGCTTGGTTGATTCTGCACTCTCTATTAGTTTATGTCAACAGTAATGTCCTTGGAGTTCCAAGTCTTGTTTTCATCTGTTTGTGCCTCCCAGGTGTGATGTTAATACACCCAGTAAGCTCAGCACGTGCAGATCATAGGAAAAGACGCAGCTCACAGCCTTCTGAGGTCTCTATTACTGGAGTTTCAAGTGGCCAAGCAAGAGAAAACAAATGGACCCCAGAGCCCCAGAGACACATGATTTAAATGATGAGGGAACTACAAATCGATGTCAGCTCTGATGATCAGAGAATGGATATGAGCACAATTTCCAGAAGTGTAACAGAGAGGTGTGAGAGAGAGTTGAGAATTATGCTGCTCAGTAGGAGATCAGAGCAATTACAGTCAATGAAGAAACACAATCTCCATGCAGAAAATAATGATGAACCAAAGAGCGCAGTGAACTCTGCAGGACAAGTTAAGCACACACGTTCTCTGTCATTTCATTTGCTCATTCCTAGATTAGGCATTGACCATTTAGTAGAATGAAGGTTGGGATTAGGGGTCCAAATAAAAGAAAAAGAAGTGAAGGAGGGAAGAAGAAAGGAAGGGGGGAAGGAAAGAAGAAACTGGGAGGTCAATTTCTTAACTCACAGTCAAAGAGTCTTAAAAGCTCTTATTAGGAATTTTCAGGCAATAGAAAATAATATTTTAAATATTCTGTGACAAGAGATTCTATATGAATTGTGATATAATGGAATAAATTTACATGTTTCATCAATGAAAAATTGTGGATTCATGTCACGACCTTATAATTTAAAGTTCTACATACTTAGGAGAATGTGTGTTGAATGAGCTTGCCCAAAGAACATATTTTGAGTCCTTGAATATCTGCACTCTTGTCATGTAGATTGAAAATTCTTTGTCTCCTAAGTAAGCACTTGGTGCAGAAGTCGTGCTAAATAAAGTATTCGTTTCAGGAATATTTTCAATCTCATGATTTAAAAGTTTGGTTAAAGTCTTTAATTAGAGTATAAGATGAAAACCGTCCCTAGAAGTAGTGTGTGGACTCTAATTTCTGGAATATAATAGATACAAGAATTCTCAAGCCCAGAGCTGTTGTAACATAGAGATTTTTTTTTAACAAATATTACTTGAATTCATACTAGAATTGAATTTGGTTTATATGTCTAAAACATACAGCTCTAGCCATAAACTCAAACCTAATTTTAGTTAAATACACAACAAACTGCAGTGTGTTCATTCAACATTTATTGAGCTCCCCTGTGCCAGGACTGATGTGTTCCAAGTCCTTGGAACTCAGCAGAGAAGCCCAGTCCTCATGGAGCTACCATCCATCTTGGGAAGGGACTGACATAAGCAACCACTGATGAAAGAAGAAACCATCTAGCTTGCTGGAGGTAAGAGGTATTGCGAAAAAATAATAGAGCAGGGTAACGAACATTGGGATTCTTGGAAACAGAGTGGGAAATACACAGTGTGGATTTTAAACAGAGTAGTGGTAAGAAGTCACCCAAATACAGATATATTTTGAAGGCCAAGTTAATGGAATTTCCTATGAAATGATGTCTGTCTTGTCAAAGAGAGAATAAGTCAAGGCCGGCTCTATGGTTTTTGGCTGACGTGCCCAATCCAATGAGCTTTCCTCAGTTATGATCCTTACCACTTTTAAATTTTTTCTTGAAATCTCTTCCTCCTGCCAGTTTCCTGAGTCTCTTGCTTCTCTCTCTTACTGCCCTATCTCACTCACGGACACCCCTTTCTCGGCTGGTTCTTACATATCCACATACCTACAGGGCTCTTTCTTCTGCTTCCTTCCCAAATTCTCCTCTCTTCCCAGGAAAACCACATCTACCCCCATTCTTCTACCATCATCCTTTGATCATTCTCTCAGTTGCTTATTCTATAAATCCTTCTCTGACAAGACCATCCCCAGACTGTGATGCACTCCCACCCGAAATACCCAATTCTAGTTCTAACACTTTACAACTTATACACACCTTCTCTTTCTCCCCTTTCTCAGCCCTTGACAACAAAACTGTAGGAATTATATATCATGCCAAAATATTTAAAATACTGTCATGCTTGAAATAAATAAAACAGAAGTCTCTGTAAATGAAGGGAAGAGTCACTATGATACCATGATAGGGAGCAAGTCAACCACATCACATTCATCAGTTATATTCTCTCTTACCTAATAATCAGTGAAGCTGGTAACTTTCCAATAACTTTCTGAGACCAATGGAGTGGGGCAAAGTGGGGGCACCTGGGAGGCTCGGTCGGCTAAGTGTCTGACTCTCATACCCTTTTGTCTTTCTTAGATCTTCCAAATCCCTATCAACAAATTTCTATTCCTCAAGACAAAAGATTGGCTTTTCATATGCCATTTCTGTATGAACCAATCTCTTTCTTTCTAGGTAGAGTTCACCACCTTCTTAACTGAACTGTAGAATGAACTTTAAATATTCCTGGACTATAGAATACCTCCTTTTAGTATATAATCTTTAGCTAACCCATTATTTTCTTTTGGGAACAATGAGCTTCTCAGAAAGCAGAGAACACTTGTGTTCCAGTGCACTCAAAACATTTGACAGATTCTATTGACAAACATTTTAGTACTAAATGCAGGAAACCACTTTGAATCCCTTTACTTCCTCACTTATAGAACTTCGTAATGCCTAAATACATAGTACAGTAAGCAGTCTAAAAATCAAAACAAAGATTTGTTTACCTTCTATTAGTAGTAAATATACTCAGAGATACCAAAAGGAATTTGTATACATAGACTGGGCAAGTTCAGTAACTAAACACATCTAAATAAACCTAGTGATTTTGTAAAGTGTAAAAATTAAAAATTCTCTCAAACAATGTACTCATGTGTTCATAAATCAATTTAATCTATAAATTGGCAAAATCCATTGCATTGATCAGTCCTCTATTACAAAGAATATTACTTAATCTCACAAATTCTCAATGTGCGTATGTGTATAACAAGTGTGACTATAAAATAATTTAGTTTTACTTTAAATTACACATTTTGTTAAAGTAGGATTATTGACATTTTTAATCTCTGTTCTAGAAAATTCTTAAAAAGCAAAGTTCACTCAGTATGTCCCCAATAATACTGAGTGGTCAATGAATGCATGGATAATGAGTCTGGCTATTTAAAATATGACTTTACAGTGTATTGGTTTAAATTTCTATTTACCAGTAACTTGTGAATTTATCTATGTAGAGTTCTAAAATTCATTTTTAACATTTTGGTTCATCTAAATATATCCTTATTCAAAGGACATCGATCATCATAAACATTAAAGCACATTTATTACAATATGATTACAGAGGTGATGGAACAAAGGATAGTCGGGGGGCAGTGATCCTGGGAGAATGGGGGAGGCTATAGTAAGGAAGGGAATCATGGAGAGTTTTTGGAATGCAGTTATATATTAATTAATGCTCTGGATAGTGGTCAGATGAATGTTTGCCTTATAATTACTTGTTAAACTGCGCATACCTTCTATGCTTGGTACGTATGTTTTATTTCACAATTTTTTTAAAAAAAGAAAAAAAATTAATGTGTTTATAATCTGTATAATAGTTCCCTAGGTCTGCTGTAACAAAGGGTCACAGACTGGGTGGCTTAAAAATCCTATAAATTCTCTAAGTTCATTTTCTGACATTCTGGAGGCTGGAAGTCTAAAATCAAGGGGTCAGCTGGGCCACACACATGTTCTCTGAAGGCTCTGGGGAAGGATGCATTTGATGCCCTTCCTTAGTTTCTTTGGTTGCACACAATCCAAGACATTCATTGGCTTACCGATGCATCAATCAGATGCCCTTCTCTGATGTCATGTGGCATTCTCCCTCTGTGTCTCTTTACGGTCTTCTACTCTTCCTATAAGGAAAGTGGTCACATTGCATTCGAGGCCATTCTAATACAATAGGGCCTCATCTACACATGTCAGATCTGTAAAAACTCTTATTTTCCAATAAAGTCACATTCACAGGAACATCCAGAGGCTAAGACTTGTGGGGGTGGGAAGACATAATCCAACCCATAACAACATCTATCTCAAAACTTTTACTAATGAGAGCGAGAAAGGAAAGTGAGAGCCATTCTTATTTTAATCACATGCCAGCTATTTTTATACACCCGGGTATTTATTCCTTCAGTAACTTTGTCAGTATGAATGGCAGAGAGAGTATAATATAACATGTGTGATAATGTGTATGTGAGAGAGAAAGCAAGAGAAAAAGTGAGCTATCAGAAATTAAGCGCTATCATGAGTCAGGCCTGAGTTAAATTTGGCCACATCCATTTATTCCATTAGTTAAATATGCAGTAAATGAGATTCACATTGTAAAACCCAGACAATGAGGGCTTGGCAGAAGTCTGGCCTCCTTGTTCTTTTAGTATCTACATTTTTTTTTTTTTTTTTTACTTCTCTGGATTCTTTATCATGTTTGTCTTGCTTTTTGTTGCTTTTAAAATCATTGGTTCTCAAACTTGGAATTAAAAGTTAAGTAAAAGTTTTTGTTTATTTTGTAGCATTCGTCTTAAATATTGATGAAGGATCTTAAGTCTGACTCGCTTTGAGGAAATATAGATGAATTAATAATTGATGTGGCTGCTTTGCAGAAAATTAAAGGTTGGAAGCACGTGTTAAAAAATTAAATCATCTATGGTTTAGACAGCAGATGTGATTTATTTAAAATCTTGCAAAGAAAAATGTACAATTGGGTCCTTTCTTCTGTCCAAGTCAACTGAAAATCTAATGATTCATTCCAACTTCTCAGATTCTAAGATCTGAGGTTAGTCAAAGACTGGACAATAAAAGAAAAAGAGAAATTTCAAAATTTTTCAAACATAAACTTTTAACCATTCTGCTTATTTACACAGAAATATAAAGATAGGAAGGAAGATTCTGTATGTTCTGTAATATATGGGTCCAGAGGCAGAACCAGTAATAGTTTTAGTATTAATTTATGATCACAGAAATCATATTGTTTATTAGCCATGTGGGCACAAAATGACCTTAAAAAGTGATTGCATTTCTTCCACTTGGATCTTTGTTTATGTACTTAAAATAAATAAAATAATCAAAGACAAAGATGCAGAAAACATTGGGTTAAAAATGCTTGCCACCACTGGGCATAGGCAATTCCAGCAGCTGGGAAAGGAGCAGCTCACACTTTTGCAAAAAGATTTATGGAACTTGCAATCTTGGCCGGAAGTATTATTTAGAAGGCAACCTTTCTATAAAAGTTTAGCAATTTTATCTCTGCCTAGAGAATGAGAGAAGGTCTTACCCGGATACTATCAGACTATTCTAGAGGCAGAAGACTGGAAAGTGTAACCTCTACAAGTCCTTACAAAAGCCTCATTTTCTTATCTCACACTGGAAAAAAAATAAAATAAATCACGGAGCAAGTTCAGTGAGCAGCAAACTATACTACTGCTGTACCTTTAAGCTATTACTTGCTGTCTAGTCTTTTTGAAGGCATTTTTAAAGGGCATTTATTCATCTAACCAGATTTAGGACCTCTTTTATTTCTTTCCAATAAAACTCCCCATAACTTGATGAATCGTCTTTTATAATTCTGGCTTACCCATCTCTGCTACCGGAGGGTCCCCTGAAAACATTGGCCTTTTAAGGAATGGTTGGTGTCATGAACTTGTAACACACAGGGTAGCTCCTTCACATTAGTTGAAAATATGAATAAGGAAAAACTTTCCTGTGTTCCTTAAAACTGAAGTTTGATATTTTAGTTTAATATTTCTCAGACTTTGAAGGTCATATGTATCCCAGGATATCTAAAGTGTCCTGAAATCTGAAATATTTTTCCCATGGGGCTCCTGAATGGCTCAGTTGGTTAAGCATCTAACTCTTAGTTTTGGGTCAGGTCCTGATCTTAAGGTTGTGGGATCAAGCTCCCCAGGAGGGCTTCTCCCTCAGAGCAGAGATTCTTTCCCCCTCCTAGGTCCTCCCCTTCTACCCCCTCACCACTGCTGTCTGTCCCCCCCGCAAATAAATAAATAAAATCTTCGAAATATTTCCCCAATTTATCAGAATTAACTATTTTTAAGACTTTATTTTATTCAAACTCATATATATCCACATGGGTCTATCAAATTAGTCACACACACACACACACGCACATAAACTATGTCTCCATCACAGAATTGACTTGAAATCCTCATGATGTGATTTACACTGTGGTTAGGGGAAACAATCGGGGGTTGAAGCAGTGATTTCTCAAAGTCTCATGAATGGAAGTGTCAACGAACACCCTTGCTTCATTTGACGCCTATGAAGTGTCCCTTGTCCCTTGGCCACTTGATGGAGGGCACTGAGTTTTCACAGTCCCATAGAGAACTGATGTACCCGCCCATCTCATCACTTCTTACATCACCAAATGATTTTCTTTATACAAGTAAAATAAATTAATTTTTCTATTCTTCCCCAAATGTATAGTGCCTGTCTTCAAATTTAGTATGTAACCTGCGATCCTACTTTATGCTCCCAAAATGTGCTTACACATTTTTTGCCCACAGTTCACCATGAAATGAAAAAATACTGTGCTCCTGAATAGCTAGCCTTCTCCAGATAGTTAAAATTTTAACAGTGTCTTCCAAGCATTGTTTCATAGTGTGTCTTCTTGGTATAATATCTGCCACAATGCTATACAAAATCAATACTTTGTTCCAGATTTAACCAATGTATTCAAGGAAACACAAGAGAAATGCTTTCAAAGCTTAGAAAAGAGTGCACTGGGATTGTTTATCTGGCTTTCAGTTATACTAGTAAACTCTTTCTGCATCATGATTGAAATATGTAGTCTGTACAATGAAAAGTAGCTACTCGGTACTCCCACATTCAAAAATGCAAATTATTTTAATAGGAGTAAACTAGGTTAGAACTTAAAATAATCTTCCTCATTTTAAAGCTATAGTGGAGGGGCCATATTCCCTTCAGAACCTCAGATAATATGCCCCCAGCTGGTAGAACTGTCCTTAGCTGTCAGTCCTCTCTAGAAGACTTTTGGAAAATGCCCTGTACTGAAGAGCACTGCCTCCCCCAGCTATAAACCTTTCTCCTGGGAAAAGCAGTATCTAGAGACTGGTGTAAATTATAAAGTAAAACATGTAGCATAAGCTATATATAACTACACAGCATAAACTATGAGTATATTATAGGATATATATACTATCTTACAATATAGTGTATGTAATATATATAATATAATACTATATAGTTTATAATAATATAGTATATAGAATAAAACAATTATTATACAGTATATAGAATTAGTATAATATATGTAATAGTATACAATATATTATTACAATACATAGCATTAAAATAAATATAGCATAGAGTCTGGAATATATATAGTATATGGTTTTCAATAAAAACTATTAGTTTTGTGTATAGTAAACAGAATGATCATAAAGACGCAGCAGCCTTGCCCAAGGATGGGGTAACTGTTACTCAGCAGTATCACAGCTCTGACTTGTCTCTGACCACTCCTGCTACTTCCCTGTTTCCTCTACCTTCTTCCCTCCCTCCTCTTCATTCCTCCTCCCAATCCACTTCCCTTTTCCTCCCCACCCTTGCCTCCTCCTCCCTTCTCACTTTCCTCCCTTCTCTTTCCTTCTATGATTGTTGATCTGCAAACAATCTGGGACAAAGCCCAGCAGGTGATGGCAGTCTCAAAGACAGATTCCCAGGACCAATTGTTTCAGAAAGATGAGAAAGTAACCCAAAGGAGTCTGTGAGACTCCTTTTCTGGACAAAAGTTTTAATAAAGTGATTATCTTTCTGGAATCATTTAGGTTTGAGCCAGCCTGAAGTGTTTTAGATTGAATGATGTTGGTGATTCAATTGTGGAGTGTGTTGAAATAGTTTTAAAAAATCAAGGAGTGGGGTGCCTGAGTGGCTCAGTGGGTTAAAGCCTCTGCCTTTGGCTCAGGTCATGATCCCAGGGTCCTGGGATCAAGCCCCACATCGGGATCTCTGCTCCGCGGGGAGCCTGCTTCCTCCTCTCTCTCTGCCTGCCTCTCTGCCTACTTGTGATCTCTGAGTGTCAAATAAATAAATAAAATCTTTAAAAAAAATTTAAAAAAAAATCAAGGAGTGAACCCATAATGATTCAACTGCACAAAATAAGTACAAATCCTATTAAAAATATAATGTGATTTCACCAGTGATTCATGTCTGTACATTTCTAACATTCTTTTACTTTTCTGTTAACAGCTACATTTTTCTTGTTAATTTTTCTCACCCTGAGTTGAAATGTATATTCATTGTCACCAAAATAAATAAAATATACTATTTACTCTGTAAATATCTGTATTATATTCCCTTTTGAGAAATAAACTACAATGACGTTAATGAAGGCCTAGAAACTTATCCAAATGCACCAGTGTCAAAAGAACCACATACAGTATTTTAATCTTCAGCAAACTAAAAGTTTGGGTGCTCACATCAGCAAGAGGCCCTGGACAGTAGAGATGGCAAAAAAGCAGCAAGTGCAGAGTTGCTGGGTATTACCAACAATCTCTCATCTCTGTTTAAAATAACGAAGTATAGGGGCACCTGGGTGGCACAGTCTTGGTCTCAAGTCATGATCCCAGGGTCCTGGGGTAGAACCCCATATCCCAGCAGGAAGCCTACTTCTGCCACTCCCTCAGCCACTCTCTCACTCTTGCTCTCTCTCTCTCTCTCTCTCTCTCGCACATCAAATAAATAAATAAATAAATAAACAAATATTTTTTTAAGATAGAATAAGGTATTGGGGGCGCCTGGGTGGCTCAGTGGGTTAAGCCGCTGCCTTCGGCTCGGGTCATGATCTCGGAGTCCTGGGATCGAGCCCCGCATCGGGCTCTCTGCTCAGCAGGGAGCCTGCTTCTTCCTCTCTCTCTGCCTGCCTCTCTGCCTGCTTGTGATCTCTCTGTCAAATAAATAAATAAAAAATCTTAAAAAAAAAAAAAAAGATAGAATAAGGTATTATTAGGGAGATTGAGGGTGGTGGGGTTTGAAAAGTTTTTAAACTTGTTTAACTTCTGGGGCACCTAGGGTGGCTCAGTTGGTTAAGTGTCTGCCTTCAGCTCAGGTCATGATCCTGGGGTCCTGAGATGGGGCCCTGCATAGAGGACCCCATCAGGCTCCCTACTGAGCAGAGGTCTGCTTCTCCCTCTGCCTCTGCCTCCTCCCCACTGCTTGTATTCTATCTCTGTCTCTCTCTTTCAAATAAATAAATAAAATCTTAAAAAAAAAAAAAACTTGTTTAACTTCTCCATTATTCTAACTCACAAGCTGCAGATTTGCATTAAAGAAATCTTGCCATCATTTCAGAATGGCTACCCGTGTCTGAAACCATGGCACATATCTACATAGCTAAGCTGAAAAAGCGTATTCTCTTTACATTTTAGCATCCCTGTCTCATTACACAGTTAACATTCTGTTTCATCATCTCATGTAACACAAGATGACAAGTACGATTTGAGGAAAGAAATCATTTTTTTATATTAGAGACCTACTTTCTTTTTGAAGAGCCGTTATCAGTCTCCACTTCCCTGAACACACCAAGCGGCACCAAGGCTTTAGCCAACACCTGCTTGCAGACACTGGTTCATGAGTTGATGGCTGACTTTTAAAAAATCCAAGTAACTTGGCACATCACTTTCCACCAAAAAATGATGACATATGATGTTTTATTGCTTCCAATTTGCTTGAAAAGCCTGTGTTTTTCTTGTGTATCATCTTTTCCTGTCTTGTTTATATATTTTACCACCTACATGGATTCACACAAAAATATCGAGTTCCTTTTCATTTCCTTAATTAAGACAAACTACATAATTCCATAAATGCCAATGGAGAAAAATATTGTTAAGTTTTGTTCCTTCAAAGATAAAAACACAGAAAAATATGGGCCAAGACTGTCTTTGCTTCCCATATGTTCCAATCCTGAAGAGAATGTACTTCTTTGCCCCAGCTGATGTGGTGCACAAGAATTTCCAGGTGCAAATATATCATTCTGCCACCAATATCTCTAATCTCAATCTCTAGATAAGGTTTTCAAGCAGTTTTAGAAGATTGACTGTTAAATGATTACTATCTCTTCTGAAACTTTTTAAATTCCATCAGTTTCTTATATAACATCAAAGAAATCTCATATCAGAGGATCAAATTTTAAAGTATTGACAGTAAATCCCATTTTTTTATCATGCTCTACCATTCTTACTAGTGTCATTTACATCGCTACTATTATTAGCTCTGTGTCCATCTTTCCTTTGGATCTCATTGAGTCTGAGTTAAAACAATGGAAATTTCCTGTGGGAAATTTAAAGATAGTACCATTAATGGAAAGTAGCAATGGTGTTAAGAGAAAAGAGAAATGATGTTTTAATTTTTAAGAAGTCTGTTTTAACCTGTTTAATTTTTATAAAACATCAATTGTATGGCTTATGTAGGAGAGAATTTTGACATTCTCCTTCCTTAATGAACTATTAATCCAGCCTACCCCCTGTTTTTGTATAGCCCACAAGCTAAAAATGTTTTTTATGTTTTTTTTAATGGCTTGTCAATTTCTACAACGACTATTATCACTGGTGTCAAAAACTACTACCCTCACAAAATATAAGCAATGTGAGTGAGTAGAGGAAGAGTGTTTCAGGGAAATGTTTTGGTATATCTTGCCACCTGTTTTCTATTTTTATTTATTTGTTATCTTTCGGTTGTCAATCCAGCACTCTGTTTTTATCCATTTCTTCAATATGTTTTTTTCTTCCAGACAGAAATATCATATTTCTTGAGAATATAAATGCAACACAAAATCACCTATTTGTGTACAAGTGGGGACCAACTTATCTCCAGTCCACCTCATAAACTCAATGTTGTTATGATGTTGACATAAGTGAATAATGAATACACATCAACTATAATTAAAATATATCAGGCATTAATACAAAATAAGGTTTTTTTATTTGTTTTAAAGATTTTATTTATTTATTTGAGATAGAGAGAGTGAGTGAGAGAGCACATTCGAGGGATGGGGCAGAGGGAGAAGCAGGATCCCCGCTGAGCAGAGAGACTGAGGCAGGGTTTGATCCCAGAACCCTGGGATCATGACCTGAGCTGAAAGCAGGTGCTTAACCAACTGAAACACTCAGGCTCCCCTAAAATTCGGGCTTTTTCTTTTTTTAAATATTTTATTCATTTACTTGAAAGAGAGAGAGCACGCAAATAGGAGGAGCAGAAGGAGAGGGAGAAGCAGACTCTGTGCTGAGGGCGGAGCCCCACACGGGGCTTGATCACAACTCTGAGATCATGACCTGAGCCAAAACCAAGAGTCAGATGCACAACTGACTGAGTCACCCAAGTGCCCCTAAAATATAAAATAAGCTTTAAAGAAAGGGTGGATTTTTCCCCGAGGCTAAGCATTAGATGAGGACATGGGTATAAAATTGGTATTAAATGAAAACATGGGAATAACTGACTCGAATTATCAACTTAAACATGTGTTCATTTGGTTCACTTGAAGAATTTTGATATGCATATTTTACTTGATGGTGTCAATAGGTTTGTTATTGATGCCTCTGACATGGAATTCTGCAAACTGTCATCTTTTATAAAAGAACAATTCTTCTGCCTACAAAAAAGACCTTTTCCATGTTTCAGTTCTAGACTCTAAATAAGCAATATTTTAGTACTTAGATAACTAAATGCCTTTCTGGAGTATCAGGCATGCTGTTAGTTTGCCTTTCTAAATGATTTTATAGCAATGAATTTATAATCATGTTTCAAGAAAGTTGAGTAGTGTGCTAATATTTTATTTTGAGATCCAGAACAAAAAACACATCCCGTATCAGGCAGGTCTGACTGTCCAGGCTATTCAAAAATGAAAAGAAAGAAAATCATATACTGTGATTGGGGGATAGCAAATAAGAGGGATGACATCTGAAAAGTAACATCAACCCTTTCATTTTAGAAAAGAAAGGAACTGGGGTCCAGGGGGATAAAGGGGAGCTCTGCAGTTTCTTCCAACACTTAGCTTCTGTGATTTTTTTTCTAAATGAGTAAACACGAGCTTCTAAATTTTCACACTTGGAGCAGAATAAAATAGTATCTAATGCAATTCAAAACAGCTTTAGTAAGTCATCCTGTGAGTATCATAACATTTCTCTTTTTGGTACATCTTTCTTCCAAACTCAGTTTTTTCATTTAGCACCAAAAGAGACTACATTGCAGCACTCAGAAAAGAAATAAAGGTTTTATTTTTAAAGAATGTTAAGTCTACAAGTGACTAAAGAGTCTTTGATACCAAAAATACTCTAGGTAAAGGGGGAAATTTCTCAGTTTGAACAGTATGCAGTCATAAATGTGACAGACTATTAGCCCAGACAGTGGGATGAACAGTTGGTGAGGCTGTGGCTCATTACTGAGGAGCACAATCCATACCGCAGGGAGTATGGAGGAAGGATGCTTCCTTCTCCCATTTGGATACATATACCTGCACACTCACACGCACACAGGTGCTCAGCCATTCTCATACACATATATTTCACACGTACACACATACCCAGAAACACAGATGCCCAGTCACACGAACACTCAGAGATACACACACCCAGACATGCTAACATACACAAATATATAAATAAACAGTTGCAGAGAAACATATAACCAAGTCACATGGGCACACATACACACATACAAGAATTATTAGTTTCCCTGGGGCGCCTGGGTGGCTCAGTCCATTAAGCATCTGCCGTTGGTTCAGGTCATGATCTCAGGGATCTGGATCAAGTCCCACATCGGGCTCCCTGCTCAGCTGGGAGCCTGCTTCTTCCTCTCCCTCTGTCTCTCCCCCTGCTTGTGCTCTCTCTCTCTCTCTCTGTCAAATAAATAAATAAATAAATAAAATCTTGGGGGGGTATTATTAGGTACCCATAGACTTAAGAACTGTAATTTGAAGTATATTCCTTGTAATCATTGTTGGTCCTCTTACAGCTAACGAAATTACCACTTTATTACAGAAGTGTCTTGTCACCATATTAAAAATAGGATCTTACAAATATGATGGAAGCTTGGTCAACTCAAGAGTGTGTCAACATAATAATATAACAAAAGGAATAAATTTTAAAAATTGCATGTGGAGGAAAACATGTCTTCTCCTCTGTTTCTGAGAAAAGCTAAGTGACTCACTTCTGTCAAGTCATCCTGATTCCTCATTTGGGACTGTGGGTGGTAGACTAGTGTCCCCAAGCCCTCATACTCTGGGAACATATACTTAGATTTGCATAAGAACAAGAGTGATGAATTCTTATTGTTTAACATCAAATGGACTGCCTAAGTATTTTCTTAAAACATTTGCTGCACACCTGAACATTTGGTACTACAGAAATTATAGAGCTTTCCATACAAAACATTTAATGTGTGCCTTAACTAAGCAAGGAAATGTTTGGTTAGTTGGTTCATACATCTGTCGTTGACCTTGACCACATACCTACTGGGAGAGACTTAGAATCCTTAGGAGTTATCAATAGTAAACCAACTATAGCACCATAAAATAAATCATTCACTGAAGGCATGAGTGTCTTGGGTACTGAATGGACATTACACATGTTAAACAGATTCCAAATAATGATGGTGAAGGCAGTACACTGTATATTGAAAGCCACACTTCCCATTTGAGCCTCTTTAGGACTTAATACCTGACACTGAATTTCACTCATTCGGTATGGCTTTAAGGTAGGAATACAAAATCTTTTAGGTTTGGGAAAATTAATGGTGTGACTTAGGAAATATTTTATACTCATGTCTCATACAGAAAAAAAATCAGTGAATTACCCACACTTACAAACTATCGAGTTCCTAATATGATCAGGTGATCTGATATTTTATTTGTCATTTCCAACAATAGACTGTAGTGATTAAAATTGCTATTTCCATCTATGGATACTGTTCTAAAGCTCAGAGATAAGTTAACTTGCCCGAGGCCACATAGCCAGGAAGTAGCAGATCTGAGCTTGGAATCGGTTCTGATAGATTCTTGACCACAGCACAGCTCTGGCCCAGGTGCATCCCAAGGTCTGTGTGAACAGAGGCATTCTTCTGAAGCAGCTAGGAAGACGATCTCATGCTAATCACAAAAAATACAGAGGCTTCTTTCATCTTCTAGAGAGTGGTTCCTGATCCCAACTGCATATTAGGAGCATGAGGGATATTAGGGCCTCATGCAAAACCAATTACCAGAGAATGAGGCCTTGGTCTTGGTACTTTCTGAAAACTACCCAGTGGAATTTGACATGAGACCAGAGCTGAGAACAACTGTTGTGACCAGGGGTTGTCAGAGTGTAGCCCCAGGTCAATAGCATCAGCGTCCCCTGGGAGCTTGCAAATTCTCTGGCCCCACAGACCAGCTGAGAAAAAGCTCTGGGGCTGAGTCCCAGCAATCTTGCTTTAACAAGTCTTCCAGGTGATTCTGATACATGTTAAGGTTTGAGAAGCACTGCTCTAGATCAAGGATTCCCAAGATATGCTTTTCAGAGATTAAAATGCGTAAATGTTAAAATGACGATTACGGTTCAAGAGGTCTGAGTGAAGCCTGAGGTTCTGCATTTCTAACAAGCTTCTTCCAGATGATGCTGATACTGTCTGCAGAGAATCGTCGGAGAAGAGCTGGCTTCCAGTCTTTCTTTTTTTTTTTTTTCGCACTACCAATGCCAACTTTCCATTCAAAGCACTATTCTGGTGTTTAAAAGAAGGCTCTTGGAATGATCTCTCCAGTAGTAATAGATAAGTCAGCATCAACTTTCCACTCTAGCATGGAAGATGCAGCAAATGGAAAAAAGCAACAAGAGGCTTCCAAAGCTAGTTCTGGAGAAGGCTGAGCAAGCCCCATGATTTCTCCGCATCTACTTTTCTTCCTTTTTAAAACGAAGTATGTGGAGCAGATTATTTTAGTATTTTTGAACTCAAAATTTGTTGTGTATGTAATTAACTTTGTGTTCCTCTACTGAGCATCCCCCTTCTTTCCATACTCTGTTTGGAACATGCTATTGAATGTCAGGACAGTCACCTATAAATCTTGCACTCAGCTGACATCGGGGTGGTTCACAACATGTTGTAGCTTCTTCCATCTACCTGATGAAAGCACTGGAAGCAAATTATAAATGATTTTCTCAGAAGACTCTAAATGTTAAAACAATAGCTATATTCTCATTTTTTCTTTATAGAGATATTTCTTTGCCCTAATGAAAAAGATAGATCCACTTGAATATCATGCAAAAAAAAAGGCTTGCATGAAGCATCTGACCTATTGCTTCACAAATGGAGCAACTCTTCATGCTTGTGCAATCCACACACAGTGTGCACAAAATGCCAGAGGATTTAAAAATACCGACAAGGACTTTCCTCTTAGAATAATGGCATTTTAATGTTAAGCTACAATTTATAGCTATTTAAGGTTGCCATTTTGTCCCTCTCCCAGTTGTTGTCAAGCAAAGTGGTCAATTTTTTTGAAAGGGCAACAGCAAATGACCAAAGAAAATAAAATGTATTATTGCATTGGGTTCAGTAATCTTGCTCCGAACTCTCTCTTGTCCTTTATTCCTAAAACTGTGGAGGCAAGGTAACTACCTGCCTTGTGGGTTGGAAACCAGAGCCAGAGGGCATCCTTGAGACCCAGAGGAAGGTCAGAAGATTTGGGTAAATAGTGAAACCTGAGAGTCAAAGATTATCAGGAAGCTGTAATCATCAGGATTAGGCCAGGGGCATGAGTGAGACTCCTTCGGTTGGGTTGAAAAGAATAAAATACTCTTAAAGTGTTAACCAGTGGAGTTGAGATCCTTAGAGAACATGGAGACCTGTGTGAAGAAGATGGCTGATGACAAAGTACAGCCTAGAGAACCAGGTGCAAAATGAACACATGACGGAACAGAGATGACTGTAACCCATTCATCAGTGTTCCTCCAAAAAACTGATCAGGGTGTAAAAGACAAAGTCCAAATCATAAGTTAATAGTAATAATAATAATAACAATAACAATAAGAATGATGATGCATTTCCTACCCACGTAAAGAAAATTATCCAGCAGGACAATTCACAGATGTATACAATATATACAAGTGCAGAAGACACAGAGAGGGATGAAGGATGCTAAAGTAACAGAGGCAGAAAATCAGCATCACCAATGAAGACATGTGACTTTGGACTTTAGCAAAAAACAACACAACTCTGAATCAACCCTGAAACCAGCCTAAGTACTGTCACTGTAGTTAGTGTTGGGGACAAAATATTTATAAAATGAGACATAGTGCCTGCTCTTGTGGAGCTTATCATCCAATGTGGGAGATGTCTATAAAATACTCATGTAAATGTAAGCACTTCCTTGGAAAGGGTAGCACAGCGGTGCCCTCAGAGTTTGTAAGAGGCACTTTGACCTAAAAAGGTATGCTGCAGGACAACCTTGAGGAAGTAAGGAGTTTGAGCAGACCTGAACAAAGGGTGGGGGTAATGGGACGGTACATATGTTGAGGGGTGGGGAGAGGGTGTTCCTAAAAAAGGGATGAGGTTGAAAATCCCTGAGGAAGGATGGGTGGCGATAGATGACGCTGGGGAGGGAGGTAGAGGGAAGAATGGTAGAGTTGAAAAGGCCATTCTAAAAAAGTCAGTATTTATTCTAAAATTAATGAGGAGCCATGTAGTTGTTTCAATAGGGGACTGACATGGGAAGTTACATTTTATAAAAAGATCTTTCCAGTAGTGGCACCGTGCACAGGTAATGCAGCCAGATTTGAAAGTAATAAAGCAGAAGATTTTTAGAGGCTTTCACAGTGCTCCAGGAGAAGATGATGGCAGTTTGAACTAGGATGGCAGCAATGAAAACAGAGTGAAGTTGTTGGTTTGAGAGATACTCAGACAGGAAAATCAGCAGCACCCGATGATGGATCAGTTGGACATGGCAGATGAAAAAAGCGTGTCTTCAAGAATGACTCAGCTTTCTGTCTTGCTTACCTTTGAAACAGCCATGCTAAAAAAAGATCTTCTCTCTTGTTTGGGATGAGAAGGTGATAATGATAATAAGTTCTGTTTGGGATGAGTAGAATTTAAAATGACTTTAAGATATCCACATGGAGATACCAAATAGGCAACTGAACCTACCTGGCCTGGAGCTTCAAGGAGAGCTTGGGGCTGAAGATAAAAATAGACAAAGCTTGTAAGGCATGGAGATGGTAATCAAAGCCATGGGTCAGAGTGAGATTGCCTGAAAAAAAATGGATAAAGGGAGAAAAGAAGAGATCTTTGGATGAGATTTGAGTAAGTCTAATGGAGAGAGATCAGTGTGCCATGCCCTCCTGGCCCTAACCAGACTTTATCCTAAAACAGAAAACAAATAGAGCAGAATACACCAAATCATCATTTCAAAAGTCAGGGATACACATCAAGAGCAAGACAGCTTATAGTGGTCTCTGATTTAAGTAAACTATGTAAAAAGTCAAATAATCAAAATATATATTAAGGTCTGATTTTCTTCTTACTGAAGGATGTTTTTCATTTACCAGCTATAGTACATGTTCTATGTCTATAGAAAACTTACTTCTCTCTGACCATGTAAAATGAGATTTGCGTGGCAGAAAGAGAAATTAAAAAAACAATCCCATTTTCAATTACACCAAAAATAGTAAAATACCTAGGAATAAACTTAATCAAGGAGGTGAAAGACCTTTACTCTGAAAACTATAAAATGTTGATGAAAGAAATAGAAGGTGACACAAATAAATTGAAAGATATTCCATGCTCACGGAGTAGAACAAATATTATTAAAATTTCCATACTGCCCAAAGCAATCTACAGATATAATACAACCCCTATCAAAATACCAATGTATTTTTCACAGAACTAGAAACAAATAATTTTAAAATCTGTATGGAACCACAAAAGACCCTCAATAGCCAAAGCAATCTTTTAAAAAGAAGAATAAAAAAGGGGGATATAATAATCCTACATATCAAGATATACTCAAAACTGTAATAATCAAAACAATATGGTGCCAGCACAGAAATAGACACATAGATCAATGGTGCCAAAAAGGGAACCCAGCAAGAAACCCACAATTATATGGCCAATTAATTCTCATCAAAAGAGGGAAGAATATGCAATAGGAAAAAGATAGTCTTTTCAACAAATTGTGTTGAGAAGACTGGGCAGCTACATGCAAAAGAATGAAACTGGTCTCTTTCTTACACTATACACAAAAATAAACTCAAAATGGATTGAAGACCTAAATGTGAAACGTGAAGCCATAAAAATCCTAGAAGAGAGAATAGGAAGTAATTTTTCTGACATCAGCCATAGCAACATTTTTCTAGATGTGTCTCCTGAGGCAAGGTAAACTATTGGGACTACATCAAAATAAAAAGCTTCTGCACAGCCAAGAAAAAAATCAACAGAACTAAAAGACAAGCTACTGAATGGGAGAAGATATTTGCAAATGGCATATCAGATAAAGGCTTAGTATCCAAAATATATAAAGAACTTATACAACTCAGCAACAACAACAACAAAAAAAACCTAAATAATCCAATTTTTAAATGGGCAGAAGACATGAACAGACATTTCTTTAAAGAAGACACCCAGATGGCCAACAGATGCATGCAAAGACTCTTGACATCTTTCATCACCAGGGAAATGCAAACCAAAACCACAATGAGATAACACCTCACACTGTCAGAAAAGCTAAAAATAAAAACATAAGAAACAACACGTGTTGGTGAGGATATGGAGAAAAAGGAACACTGTGCACTGTTGGTGGGAATGCAAACTGGTGCAGCCACTGTGGAAAACAGCATGGAATTTCCTCAAACGTTAGAAATAGAATCACCTGAGGATCCAGTAATTCCAACGCTGTATATATTTACCCAAAGAATATAAACACACTAATTTGAAAAGATACATGCACCCCTATGTTTATTGCAGCATTATTTATCATAGCCAAATTATGGAAGCTGCCCAAGTGCCCATCCATAGATAAATGGATAAAGAAGATCTGGGAAATTCATACAATCGAATATTACCCAGTCATTGAAAAGGATTAAATCTTGCCATTTGCAACAACATAGAGGGATCTGGAATGTATAATGCTGAGTGAAGTAAGTCAGTCATAAAAAGGCAAATACCACATGATTTCACTCATATGTGGAATTTAAGAAACAAAGCAAACAAAGAAGAAAAAAGATACAAACCAAAACATAGACCTTAACTACAGAGAACAAACTGATGGTTACCAGAGGGGAAGTGGGTGGGGGACGGGTGAAATAGATAAAGGGATTAAGAGTATACCTACCGTGATGAGCACCGAGTAAAGTCCAGAATTGTTGAATCACTGAACACCTGAAACTAATACAATACTGTATAGTAACTATGCTGGGATTGAAATTTTAAAATAAAAATGAAAAAATAGGGACACCTGGCTGGCTCAGTTAGTAGACCATGTAACTCTTAATCTTGGGGTTATAGTTTTGAGTCCCACATTGGGTGTAGAAATTACTTAAAAACAAAATATTTAAAAATAAATAAATAAAATTTAAGAATAAAGTATCAATAAAAAAATACATTGAGATTTGCTTTGGTATATCAAGGACAAGTGAATCGTCCACGCAGGTACTTCAGACATGAAGATCAGATTTCCAACACACCATGGGCAGGAGAGATTGGACTGTAGAGTTTAGGAAGCACGTTTGGTTTCCAGAGAGGAGAAAGAGTTACCAACATAAATAGAACAAGAGAATAGCTTCTCTTTTCTCAGCATGGACATATATATACATATACATATCTATATATGCAGATGTCTCCTAACAATCTCCCTCCTTGTGACAATCAGGAAATAATGATTCTGAAGGGGAAAATTAGGATGTTGTTTGTAAATCACTAACCAAGAAGTTAAGGTTAACCTGGAAG